AAGGATTTCCTTTTCTTTATTAGAAGGCGCCCTTTGGCAGGTGTGGCATGAAGAGGTGCCAGGCAGGAGAGAGGAGAAGAGTTCCAGAGGGCAAGCAGGTTTGCTGCTATCAATGTGTCCCTTGTCCAGAAGGGACCATTTCTAATCAAACAGGTAGAGGAAATATCAAAAGCAGATATTCAAGGATAAAGCAAGTCAATCATTGAATCAAAATTTTAATCTTGTTGCCATTTTCAGTAGGATTGACATCTGTCAAAGTATTTATAGCTTACTGCAGAATTTTTCAGTTTGTGGATTTAAATTGTCCTGCCACGATAGGCCCCCTTTCTCACTCCTCAAGAATTTCATGTGTTGTAGTGTCAGGTCCCATTGGAAAAACTAGCTACCACTCAATTTCAAGTTAATTTCTTTAATCTTTCTTCCATCAGCACTATCAATCACTTATGAAATTGATAGACCTGTCAGAGGAACAGGAGATCCCTCTATCCATGTCTGCCAATCTTTCCCTGCAAAAACAATAACAAAAATCTGAACCAACAGATTAGAAGTACAAAGCAGAGAATTTGACCCAAAGAACTCTCAGTGCTGTGCTTCTGGATCATTCTTTCCTTTCTTCCACCTGTAATCATTTTTTCTATAAATTGCTTTTGATCAGGAAAAGAGATCTTTTCCTCTCACACAACTCAGTAGATGTGTTCATGTCTTTTTCTGTTACCATTTTAGATCTCCTCAGCACAAACACACAAAAAGATATGCACAAATACACAAAAGTATAGCATTTCTGGCTGATAGAAGAAAATTAGGGAAGAACTGGCAATCTCTCTTGCCCTGAAAGCCACAATAGTCATGGAAGCACCCAGTGACCAGAGACGGCTTTTTGTCCCACAGAAAACAAATCAAGCTAGCTGGAGCTGAACACATCCTTGTCTCTAGCTAACCTAGCCAAAGTATCATGAATAATATGGAAAGATTTGCCTTTTTTTGATCCATCATGAAATGCACAAAGGGTCATTCCATCATTTCCTTTGTGCATCAGCCATAGCAGAATGGGGACAGTCATGCCATAGTAGAGAGAAGTAGGGAGGAATAATGAGGGAGAAGTATTGCTCATGACAGGTGTCCCCCTCACACAAAGATTTGATTTCTTGATTTCAGATGCTGCTCACTGTAACCCTTGCCCAGAAGACCAATATCCCAACAAGGGGAAGGACCACTGCATTGCCAAGAACCTCATCTTCCTTTCCTACCAAGAGACCCTGGGGTACACTTTAGTATCTCTCACTCTATTTCACTTTGTGGTCACAATGGCAGTTCTGACAATTTTCGTTATGCATCGTGACACACCAATTGTCAAGGCCAACAACCGAGATCTCACCTACATCCTCCTGGTCTCCCTCTTGCTCTGCTTCCTCTGCTCCTTCCTCTTCATTGGTCAACCAGGGAAGCTCACCTGTCTCTTCCGACAAAGTGCCTTTGCCATTCTCTTTTCCCTTGCAGTTTCCTCTGTGTTGGCAAAAACTGTCATGGTGGTTCTGGCCTTCATGGCAACAAAACCAGGGAACAGGACAAGGAAACTTTTAGGAAAACCACTGACCAACTCCATTGTCTTAGCCTGTCCCCTGATCCAAACAGTTCTTTGCATCACCTGGCTGGCAAACTCTCCCCCGTTTCTCAACTTGGACTTCCACTCCTTGAGAGGAGAGATCATCTTGGAATGTAATGAAGGGTCTGCTTCAATGTTTTACACTGTCCTTGCCTATTTGGGTTTTTTGGCTCTCGTCAGTTTCACAGTGGCTTTTCTAGCTAGAAAATTGCCAGACAGCTTTAATGAAGCCAAGTTCATTACTTTTAGTATGCTGGTTTTCTGCAGTGTTTGGATCACCTTCCTCCCCACCTACCTGAGCACCAAGGGGAAATTCATGGTGGTCGTGGAGATCTTCTCCATTTTGGCCTCTGGGGCTGGTCTCTTGGCTTGCATCTTTTCCCCCAAGTGTTATATTATCCTATTGAGGCCTGATCTGAATCAAAGAGAAAATATAATGAGGCACAAGAATCTCTGATTTATATGGAAAGTAGTAATTTTTATTTTTTGTGTGCTTTTTTTAAATTTGATGTGATTTCTTAACAACAATGAAATAAGAGAGGGCCTTCAATAAATGATTAGAAATCATATAAATATTTTATAATCATCTCTGTCCAAAGATATACCATTTTTGGCTCCTGTTTGAAAGGTGGTAGGAATGGAAATTGTACTATTATTAATGTTAAACATATAAACTCAGATAATGTGTTGCTTATTAAATACTATGATTGTTATTGTAAAAAATCAATAAAATATACATAAAAAATGAAATGCCTTCTATTTCCATTTGAGATTTGGTACAATACACTTTAAAGTATTTTAAAAATTTGCTTAGGTCTCATTATTATGATCTGACCTGCTTAACTAATTAGTATAACATATAAAACAGCCTTTTGGACAGCAAAAGTGACTAACGAGCAATTACTGGAGCACATAATACCAGACACACTGCTGGAAGGAAATCACAAAACTGCATCTCATTTACTTTGGCCACATCATGTGGGGGAAGTCACTGGAAAAAGCCATTATATTTAGAAGAGTTAGCAGTGGAATGAAGCTAGGCCATCAAAGAACATAGTGGTTGGACACTTTCAAAGCTGACCAGTGGCTCTCCCTATGAAAGGAAGAAGCTAGGTTTGCCACTCAACATGAATCAGCCCGACTGGTGGGGCAATAACCACACAATGGTGACCCCCAAAGTCACCATAATTTTTACTTTATCTTTGAATGAAGAATCTCACTTTCTCCAGCTCAGTGCTGGATTTGAGCTTTCTCAGGAAGACAAAAGAGTTTATCCTTCAGGAGGAGATGTCAGCTCACAGCAAGATGATAATCAGCGTGTGTTTATGCAAGATGCTTCAAGAGGGTAGTTGAAGTCCTTATGGGCACATTTCCAGAACCACCTCAGTTTCTCTCAGTATGTAGCCTGAATCCAATCTGTTCCTGGTCTGAAATTCATCAAGCTTTTCTATATCAAAGGGTAAATATTGGACCTCTCTGGACAGTGAAGTGACAACCCAGGGTAGGCTTTTCCTTCAATACAGCCTCACTTAATCAGACCTAGTTCCTCCATTCTGCTCTCTTTACCATCTAGATAAAGTTAGTAAAATTGTGCACCATTTTGGAAGAAATTATTTAATCATTCCTAAAATATATTTCTCATTTTCAAGACCTTGGGCCAAAGTAAAGATTTTAAAATGTATATAGCAAAGTAAAGCACGAGGAAAGCCCAATAGGGAAGTTTGATTTGTGGCATTATAGTCTTTGTAGGTAGGCATCATGTGTTTAAAATGGAGTTGAAAAAGCCATTGATACAAATGCCCAATCACAAAGGCAAGCTTTAGTTGTGTTGGCAAAGTAGCTAAGCATTTGGTGTTCCTTGTGATTGCTCAAATTTCCATGAACAAGCTTCTCAGACATAAACTGGTCTGCTAAAATAAGGCCATAATAGAATGGTAGGAGCCATGATATCTCATTTGTGGTTTTCAGCCAATTACTCCAATTTCAGAAGGTCTCTTTTGTTTCAGATTCTTCTCTATTTGAGGAATATGCAGTTCAACAACAGTGCTGGAGAGGAAGTCTCCTTCTCAGAAAATGGACTGGGATCTGCCCATTATGACCTTTTCAACTAGGTTTTCCTCCCCAATCAATCAATTGTTCTTGTTAAAGTTGGGAAAATCGATCCTAGGGCTTCCCCAGGTCAGGAATTTACCGTTAACTCTGATGCAATCAACTGGTCCACACAGGTAAGTTGGAAGGCAATGATGTAAATTCAGGGAAATATTCTTTCTCTTTTGGAGATGCATCCTTTTAGCTGGAAAAAGGTCTATTGAATCATAAAATATCACAGCTACTTGCTGAAAAACCTGATTTGTATGTAACATATTTCAGGTCTGATTTGTGGCAGGTGCAGAAAATTTTGGGATTGGGAAGAACTTCTTGAAAGGCATGATGTCATTAGGGTGGACAACTGTGATTTCTATGGACTATTCCCATTATGGAATCAAATGCAGGATCCTAAACTAATTATCAAATCTGACTTTAGGATTTAATTGTGCTCACTGGAGTAAACAATGGGAAGGACTCCTACAGACAAAAGAATTCACTCATATTTATACAAATCAGGAAAGGAGAAGATTGTGATATATATGCATAGGTAATCAATGATATAAATGTGGATATTCATAATTAGCAAACCTCAAGATACCTCTCTGGTTTTCTGCTGTTACTGTCCTCAAGAAAGAATTGTTGTGTTGAATTTTTTAAAGCATATCAGTTACATTGCCATAGACATTTTTTGATAAAGCCTACTGAGAACCAAGTAGTTCAATGTTGCCTCAATTAGAACCCATTTCTCCTCTTTCTATTTTGCTCACCCCTCCTGCTCCTCCTGTTCAGTTGGGTCTTCATAATTTGCTGTTTCAGCAAAGCTGTAGCTTAATGTCATGAGCCTTCTTTGCATGCCGAGGTCCCAGCTACAATCTCCAGCATCCATTAAAGTGACAAGAATGCTGCTTGCCTAATTTATCTAGGAGCTATTTTTGTTTTCTGGGAAGCCCAGGTGAACCATTTATTTTGAAGACTTTCTTTCAATTGAAATAGGAACACGGAGAAGAATCAATGAAGCATGTCTGTTGCTTATGCCATCTCAAGCATTTCTCTTTTCTTTCTTAGAAGGTTCCCTTAGCCAGATGTGGCATGAAGAGGTACCAGGCAGGAGAGAGGAGAAGAATTCCAAAGGGCGATCAGGTCTGCTGCTACCAATGTACCCCTTGTCCAGAAGGGACCATTTGTAATTGTTGTGTTCTTTGTATTCCCCCCCCCTTAATCCCCTATGCATATCCTGATCACCCATTAAGGGTGATTGCCTTTCACCATTGATCGCCCATTAAGGGTGATTGCCCTTCACCATTGATCGCCCATTAAGGGTGATTGCCCTTCTCCATCTGCATACAGTTTCATGCCCGTTGCTGGTTGGCTAACTAGCAACAG